CTGTAGCCCACGAAAGCTTATGCTCTAATAAATTTGTTAGTCTCTAAGGGGCCACAAGTACTCCTGTTCTTTTTGCGGATACAGACTAACACGGCTGCTACTCTGAAATCAGGAAATTTTGATTCCCAAGACACTAGGATAGGCTAGGAAAAGATTTTGCTTACTGATGTCTCTAAATAAGCTTTAAAAGCCAGGATGGTAAAAACACTGAACTGCCACTCTATTTATACTACACACACAGAGAATCTAGCTGCATGCCTAGAAGGGGACAGGACCCATCTTCAGAGCCCATGGATAAGTCTGAATGGCCTCTGATATTTGCAGGAAAAGAAAGACAAACCCAAATATCTTGGACTGAAAGAGAAGTCAAAATCCAGGAAAACGTTATTCGAAAAGTTTTTTATAATCTTAAAAATTGTACTACAGTTTAATTGTTCTAACATATCACCTATATTTAGTCAGGAAAATTGTCTAGCACCTTGCAATGTTGACACAGCCAAAAAAGTTCACGTAGCTACATTTACAAGTTTGCAGTACCAACATTTACAGTGACTCTCAGAAACCTGCAGTTTTTAGTGTTCTGATCTCCTGGTGATTTCTTAATTTCTATTAAGCATTAAATTGAATTACTATCTATTTATTTCTTTATACATCTCATGCTCACTATCACCAATAAACTCTTTAAAATAATTCCAGAATACCTGCTAAGATGAAGTGGAATTTTGTCTCCATGGATATAATGTAATGATACTGAGGAGGAACTATATCCAATGATAGTTTATTTCTGTCCAGTCACATTTTGCTTTTAGTAATAAAAAGCTAAACTGTGGCCTGTCCTGTGTGCCAGTACACCGGAGTAACAGTGTGTTGTAATATTTGGGCCTCCAAATTTACCTTAATTATGATGAGCTCAACTGTGAGAAACGAGTTAAAGTTTATAAAATATCACAATAACCTGTAACTAGAAATGTTGATGGGAAAAGGTAAAAAGGGAGACAGAAAGACTAAATTAGTCCAAACAAAAAAGGCCTACTTTCAAGCCTGGGTTAAAATCATGCCTAGTAAACTAGAGAAATGTGGAACCAGAAATCAATGGACCAAAACTGATGTGTCAAAAATTAGCTTAATTGATGAACAAAATAAGAAGGGGATGGGGTTATTCCACTCATCACTCCCTTTTGAGGTTTTTAAAAAGAAAAGACTTGGGGGGAAAAAATTAGCAGAAGATAACTGTTGGCTGGGAGATGAGTGGACAAGAAAGGAGCATCATGGTTGCCACCCTACTGTCTCCTGGGACCCCAGGATCCAGTGTGTCATTGTTGGGCCTTTGTCATCCTAAGCCCAAGTGATGTCCTGGCCAGAGTGGATCAGAGAGAGAGAGATCCAGATGACATTGCCATCTCCACCTTTACTGGCTCCGGCTAAATCCCAATCACCACCTGGGATGTGACACTGTCTTATCCCCTGTATCCCCCAGTATGTCCTTTTTCTCCTCCACTTTATTTCTTCTCTTTCCTATCCCTCATCTTTTGCCTTCTGTCTAATAACAACCCGTTTTATCTGGCCACAACACTGATGTAATCCTGTGACAAGAGAGGCAACTAAAAGCAATGCCTTAAACCAGGGGTGGGCAAACTATGGCCTGCGAGCCACATCCGGCCTGTCAGACCATTTAATCCAGCCCTCAGCTCTAGCCGGGGATTGGGGTTGGGGGCTTGCCCCGCTCTGTGCGGCTCCCAGGAAGCAGCTGGCATGACCCCCCTCCAGCTCCTACGTAGAATGCGGAGGCATGGCCAGGTGGCTTTGCATGCTGCCCTGTCCACCTGTGCTGCCCTCGCAGTTCCCATTGGCCATGGTTCCCGGCCAATGGGAGCTGCAGGGGTTGCGCCTGCAGATGGGGTGGCACGCAGAGCCACCTGGCCGTGCCTTGGAGCCGGAGGGTGGACATGCTTCCGGGAGCTGCTTGCAGTAAGCACTGCCTGGAGCCTGCACCCCTGAGACGCCCACCCTCCGTGCCCCAATCCCCTGCCACAGCCCTGATCTCGCTCCCACCCTCTGAATCCCTCAATCCCAGCCCAGAGCCCCCTCTTGTAACCCCAAGCCCCTCATCCCCAGCCCCACCCCAGAGTCTGCACCCCCAGCCAGAGCCCTCACCACCCCCAGTGCCCCAAACAGCCTGCCCCATCCCTGATCCCACTCCCGCCTTCCAAACCCCTCCGTACCAGTCTGGAGCCCACTCCTACACCCCAAACACCTCATCCCCAGCCCCGCCCCAGAACCTGCACCCCCAGGCGGAGCCCTCACAGCCCTCCCCCATACCACAACCCCCTGCCCCAGCCCTCGACTCCCCCTCCCTCCCTCCAAACCCCTCGGTCCCAGCCTGGAACCCCCTCCTCGCACCCCAAACCCCTCATCCCCAGCCCCCCCACCCGCACCCCAACCCGGAGCCCCCTCCCACACCCTGAACTCCTCATTTCTGGCCCCAACCCCAGCCGGAACCCTCACCCCCGCTTCCACCCCTACCCCCCAATTTCGTGAGCATTCATGGCCCGCCATACAATTTCCACACCCCAATGTGACCCTCAGTCCAAAAAGTTTGCCCACCCGTGCCCTAAACAGCCCTATGCTGGTACAAGTTTGCCAGGTCTCGGAGTGGCTATTAAGACCAAATGCCATGCCTGTATTTTCCAGCAGTGAGGTTACAAGTGACTCAACATGAAAGACAGAAGTTGCATTTTCTCTAGTTGCTGTTCTTTTCTCTCCCTTTTTGTGTGTTTGTCTCATTTTGTTTTCTCGGGTTCAGAATTTTACAACAGCAACAGGTTCAGAATTTTACAAAAGCAACAATGACAGCTCCTCCAGTCCAGCTCAACTAACTTTCATTCTTTTCTCCACAAAAAAAACAGGGATTATTATTAAGGCTGTCAAGCAATTAAAAAAAATTAACTGCAATGTTAAACAATAATAAAATACCATTTACACCTCTACCCCGATATAATGCAACCCGATATAACACGAATTCAGATATAACGCGGTAAAGCAGTGCTCCGGGGGGGGCTGCCTACTCCAGTGGATCAAAGCAAGTTCGATATAATGCGGCTTCACCTATAATGCGGTAAGATTTTTTGGCTCCCAAGGACAGCGTTATATCGAGGTAGAGGTGTATTTACATATTTTTGGATATTTTCTACATTTTCAAATATGTTGATTTCAATTACAACACAGATTACAAAGTGTACAGTGCTCACTTTATATTTATTTTTGATTACAAATATTTGCACTGTAAAAAACAAAAGAAATGGTATTTTTCAATTAACCTAACACAAGTACTGTGCTGCAATCTTTTTATTATGAAAGATAAACTTGCAGGTGTAGAATTATGTGCAGAAAAAACCTGCATGAAGTACAAAAAAATAACTAGATTCAAAATAAAACAATGTCAAACTTTAGAGTCTACAAGTCCACTCAGTCCTAATTCTTGTTCAGCCAATTGTGCAGACAAACAAATCTGTTTACATTTGCAGGAGATAATGCTGACTGCTTCTTATTTACAATGTCATGTGAAAGTGAGAACAGGCGTTCACATGGCACTGTTGTAGCCAGCATCGCAAGATAATTACATGCCAGATGTGCTAAAGATTCATATGTACCTTCATGCTTCAAGCACCATTCCAGAGGACATGCATCCATGCTGGTGATGGGTTCTGCTAAATAACAATACAAAGCAGTGCGGACCAATGCATGTTCATTTTCATCATCTGAATCAGATGCCACCAGCAGAAGGTTGATTTTCTTTTATGGTGGTTTGGGTTCTGTAGTTTCCGCATCGGAGTGTTGCTCTTTTAAGACTTCTGAAAGCATGCTCTACCCCTTGTCCCTCTCAAATTTTGGAAGGCACTTCAGATTCTTAAACTTTGGGTCGAGTGATATAGCTATCTTTAGAAATCTCACATTGGTATCTTTGTGTTTTGTCAAATCTGTAGAGAAACTGTTCTTAAAATGTGCTGGGTCATCATCTGAGACTGCGATAACATGAAATATATGGCAGAATGTGGGTAAAACAGAGCAGAAGACATACAATTCTCCCCCAAGGAGTTCAGTCACAAATTTAATTAAGGCATTATTTTTTTAAAGAGTGTCATCATCATGGAAGCATGTCCTCTGGAATGATGGCCAAAGCATGAAGGGGCATATGAATGTTTAGCATATCTGGCACATAAATACCTTGCAATGCCGGCTACAAAAGTGCCATGCGAACGCCTGTCTCACTTTCTGGTAATATTGTAAATAAGAAGTGGGCAGCATTATCCCCCATAAATGTAAACAAACTTGTTTGTCTTAGCGATTGGCTGAACAAGAAGTAGGACTGAGTGGACCTGTAGGTTCTAAAGTTTCACATTTTTTTGTTTTTAAGTGCAGTTATGTAACAAAAAAAATTCTACATTTGTAAGTTGCACTTTCACAATAAAGAGATTGTAGTACAGTACTTGTCTGAGGTGAATTGAAAAATACTATTTCTTTTGTTTATCATTTTTTACAGTGCAAATATTTGTAATAAAAATAATATAAAGTGAGCACTGTACACTTTGTATTCTGTGTTGTAATTGAAATCAATATATTTGAAAATGTAGAAAAATATCCAAAAATATTTAATAAATTTCAATTTGTACTCTGTGGTTTAAGGAGTCAGGTCAGGCTATACCTGATACCTCATCAAACCCACTGCCTTGTGGGTGGCCTGGGAGGATATAAGGCTAAGGGAGCAACCCCTGACAGAAAAATTCCACTGCCTTGTGGGTGAATTAGGGAGTATGTAAGGCTATGATAATAAATTCAGACAGAAAATCTGGAGTGGAGCCCTAAAGGTGATCAGGTACTAATGTTTTACCTACAAAAGCAGATACATTAATAAAAAGTCTAGCACATTGCATAATATTATCTGCATTTACAATGCTATAGTAATTGAAGGATTAACAGAAGAGATTAAAAAATTAACTTACCTCACACTGATTATTCAGTTTTGTAGATGTAATATCCAATTGTTGGTACTGTTCTTTCAGTTTAGAAAATTCAGCTTCTAATCGTGTTTGTTCTAGTTTAGAATTGTTCAATAAGCTTTTCAAATTCTTATGGTCAGTTTGAAGAACTTCATTCTCTCTCAAAAGTTGATTGTATGTATGATTTAGCCTGTAATTAAAAAATGTCATATAAGAATATTATAGATAAAAATATACATATTTTAATCAGAATTTTGTTTCAAGCATGTAACTTCCGCCCCACCAGGAAGTGGAGGAAGCGCCTGTGACCCTCGAAAAGATGTATGTGGAAATACGCATCCTGGAGGTCCAGGGCTGCGAACCAATCCCCCGGGTCTAGGGATGGAATAATAGAGGCCAGGAAAACCATACGGAACTTGTAATGGACCGTAAACTGGTTGAGGTTCTGCAGGTCGAGGATGGGCCTGAGCCCACCTTTTGCCTTCGGGATCAGGAAATACCGGGAGTAAAAACCTCTACCCTGAAATTCCTGAGGTACCTTCTCCACCGCACCTAGGGTAAGGAGGCGCGTCACCTCCTGGTCTAGGCCCCCCAGGGGACTCCAGGGGCCGGGGGTGGTGGTGGGGGGGCCGAAGCGAAGCGAACTGAAACATGTAGCCCTTGGAAATGGTGCTGAGGACCCACTGGTCCAACGTTATACGGGACCATTGCACTCGGAAGGTAGATAAACGGTTGCAGAATACAAACTTTATTAACTGGGGGGCTACCCTGGCAACAGGCCTGGTGGCCCCCCTCAAAGAGTCAAAAGCGCCTCTTCCCCTGCCTCTTGCCCTTGGCGGGCCCAGGTTGCGGGGACCTACATCTCTGCTCCCTCGGCCTCTTAGGCGGGGGGGGGTCATATCTGCCTCTAGCCGGAGGAACTGAGGTCTGTGGCCTGGGTTTGTCCTTAGCTGGTGGGACATATAGGCCCAGAGTTTGCAGGGTGGTGCGGGAGTCCTTCATCACGTGCAGAGGGGTGTCTGTCTGATCCACAAACAGGGCCTTCCCGTCAAAAGGCAAATCCTGCATGAGGGAGTGGGACTCCGTGGACAGTCCTGGCAGCGAGAGCCACGATGCCCTGCGCATCGCCAACAGCCGAGGCCATCGAACGGGCTGCTGTATCTGCCGCTTCCGAAGCCGCTTGGAGGGCCGCTTTCGCCGCCACCGCGCCTTCGTCGACCAAAGCTCTGAACTCCTCCTTCTCCTTTTCGAACTTTGGCAGAGACCCCCACAAGTTAAAATCATACCGGCTCAGGAAGACTTGGTGATTTGCCACCCTGAGCTGGAAGCTCGCCGATGAATAAACCTTCCTGCCGAAGGTATCCAGTCTCCTGGCGTCTTTATCCTTGGGGGTGGGCGCGGGTTGGCCATGCCTCTCTCGGTGGTTTACAGACTCCATCACCAGAGAGTTGGGTGCCAGGTGGGAGTACAAATATTCATGCCCCTTTGCTGGCACAAAGTACTTTCTCTCCGCCTTTTTAGAAATAGGTGCCAAGGACGCCGGGGTTTGCCAAAGTGAAGTCAAGATATTGGCCACCGCCTGGTGGAGAGGTAGGGCCACACGGCCCAGTGCCGAGGAGGACAACATGTTGAACAAA